GAAAGCATAGAATGACTGAAAGGGGGAAGCTACGTAGAAATGTGAAAATAGATAGCAAGAATTTCTGTAGGTATCTTAAAAGGAAAAGATTGATAAAGTGAGTGTTGGTCCTCTAGAGACTGGGAGTGAGGAATTAATAAATAACAAGGATGAAATGAACAAATATTTGTTTCTGTCTGCACTGTAGAGAATACAAAACCTTTCCAGTAATAGCTGTAAATCAGGGAGGTGGAAGTGGTACTGAGCAAATGATGGAGTAATCCTGGGTCCTGATGAACTTCAATGTAGCATTTTTAAAAAGGTGACTAATGAGGTAGTAGATGTTAATTTTCCAAAATATACTAAATTCTGGAAATTTTGCATTTAAATATGTTCCAAACATAACCCCTTTATTAAATAAGGAAGGCAGAAAAAAGGTAACTACAGAATTAGCTTTATGTTGCCATGGGGACAGTGCTAAATTCAGTTATTAATGAGGCTAAATAAAAACCAAAAGAACTGCGGATGCTGTAAATCAAGAACAAAAACAAAGTTGCTGTAAAAGCTCAGCAGGTCTGGCAGCATCTGTGAAGGAGAAAACAGTTAACGTTTCGGGTCCGGTGACCCTTCCTCAGAACTTAATGAGGCTGTTCTTCGTTATTAGAAATTCTCAAGGTAATCAGGAAGAGTAAGCATAGTTTCATCATAGAGAAATCATGCTTAACCAATTTGTTGGAGCTCTTTGAAGTAATAACATGTATTACAGATTAGAATATCACAAGTGGAATCCCACAGAAGTCAGTGCTGTAGAGTCAACTTTTAACAATTTATATCACTGATTTAGGTAAAGGGAGTGAAGGCATGGTAGTCAACTTGTATATGACATAAACATAGGTAGGAAAGTATGTTGTAAAGAGAACACAAGATGTGTGGGTAAAATTCTGATGTATGACGGGGAAAGTTGTGAAATTGATAACATTGGCAGCAACAGTAAAAAGGTACAGTGCTACATAAGTGAAGAATGACTTTGGAATTCTGAGGTGCAGAGTTATATGAGTATTCTAGTGTGCAATTCACAAAGGATTAGCATACGGGTACAGCAAATAATTGAGAAAGCTAATGGAATGTTTTCCTTTATTACAAGACAAAATGAACATAAAAATAAGGATATTATGCTTCAGATATACAAGGCATTACTGAAACTATATCTTGAACACTGTGTGTAGATTGTTCTCAGTTAAGTAAGGGTGAAAATGCATTGGAGTGGTTCAGACCAGTTTTGATTCTGGATTGTTACCTGGAAGGAATGAGTTGGCTTATGAGGATAGGTTGTACAAACTGGGCTTGTTTTCACTGGCATTTATAGGAGTGAAGGGTGATTGAGGTGCATAAGATCCCAAACACTCAAAAGTGGAAAACTAGGGGTCATCTTTTTAGAGACAAAGGGATTTTCTGTTCTCTCAAGAGGCTTGAGACACTTTGGAACTCTGCCTCAGAAGGAAGTGGATCTGCTTATTTTTAAAGGTGTAGGTAAAGACATTTGTTAGCAAGGAAATTAATGGTATCATGATCAGATGAGACTGTAGATTTCAAAGCACAAACAGACCAGTCATGATCATACTGAATGAAAGAGCTGGCTCAAGGAGGTGAAATGGCTTACCTCTGTTCCTAATTCATATATTTTTTATGTTTAAGGGTACAGTTGACCAAACCAAGTTGGAAAGGCTATCTGATGAGCTGATCTTCCTTGACAAAATCCACTGTTGAAGAATACTGATGAAAAACTGAATAAATGGCAGTAAGTTTGCTGATGACACAAAAATGAGTAGGGAAGTAAGTTGTCAAGAGGACATAACATTCTACAAAAGAATTTAGGGGTTGGGAGTGAGCAAACGTATCCACTATATGGGAAAAATTGTCCAAGTTGATAAGTCAGAAATGAAGTACATGACTTAACTGCATATAAGTTGTAATTCTGTATACTACATAAGGATCTGGGTGCCCTGCTACATGAATTACAAAAGCTAGGTTTGCAGGTGCAGCAAGTGATTACGAAGGCGACTAGAATGTTGGCATTTATTACAACAGTAGTTGAATATAAAAATAAGGAGGTTCCATAACTATATAGGGTCTTGTGTTAGATCACATGTGAAGTACTGTGGTCACCTTACTTTAAAAATAAAGCTATAATTGCATTAGAAGTGGATCAGAGAAAGGTCATTTCACTGATCCCTAGGACAGGCAACAAAAAAATTGCTAGAGAAATTCATCAGGTCTGGCAGCAGCTGTGCAAAGTAAACAAATAATATTTGGGGTCCAATGGCCCTTCTCCAGAACCCCAGAATGAGGGGGTTACCTTAAGAAAGGGAACTTTTTCTCTTGGGGGTTGCTAGTCTGTGGAATTTTTTCTCAAAGTACAGGAGGAGACCGGGTCATTTAAAACATCTAAGATTGAATGGCGGGAACAGACTGGAATGTGGAATTGAGGCTAGAATTAGATTAGCCATGTTGTTATTAACTGGTAAAGACAACAACGGAGAATCTAACCAACTCCAATTGATAATTAATGACAAAAGGGAACTCAGAACAAGCTTGGTATATCTAGAAAATGACAGACGATGGTCAACAGAACACAGGAGAAAGAGAGATGATGAGATTCATAACGATGGAAGTGCCAAAGCAGAGTCTCACTCTATCACTGTTGCTGTTGTGAAGTATTTACTTTGTATTTTGGTGTGATACTTAATAAACTCTGCTTTGATTAAGAAGCGAGGCCTGAACCTGACCAGTCAGAATTGGTCACGATCACAAAGCGAGATGGGTTGAGGTATACTCTGTTGCATTTAGACCATAACAGAATCTGGTATCTAACAATGAATGAAAAAGGGGCCAATCCCAGTTTCTAAAGTCATTGAATAGGAGCGGCAGAGGCAAGGTTTACATTTACTCTCATACCTGGGGCTCTTAAAAAAAAAAAAAAAAGCACCTTCTTGAGTTAACTGCTAGCCATTCGAAAGCCAACTGCATTGGGAGGGGACTGAGGTCACACGTAGAGCCAACTGTGTCAAGACAGATTTCCTTCTCTAATGGACATTAATGAACTAAGTCGGTTCTCAACAAGAGACTCCATGGTCATTTTTTTAATGCCAGTAGGGGAGGTGATGTCACTGGACTAGTAATCCAGAACACCAGTCTAATGTTCTGGGGCCATGAGCTGGAATCCCACGATGGCAGATGGTGAAATTTTAATTCAATAAATTCTGAAATTAAAAGCTGGCCTAATAGCAATCATACTGAATGTCAATAAAGCTCACCTCGTTCACCTATGTCCTTTTGGGATGAAAATCTGCTGACCTGACCCAGTCTGGTCCACACATGACTCCAGATCCACAGCAATGTGGCTGACTTTTAAGTGCCCTCTGGCAATAAATGCTGGCCTTAACTGACAATGCTCTTATCTCAAATAAATAACCAGTTCTCTAGAATTTAAAAACTGAATTCATGCTTTCAAACTGGTAGGAATTCATGCAATGATATCAGATAATGCTAAATGTGAACCGCTAACTGTTACTCACTTCAAAGATACTGTCTATCCTATTACATATTTCCAACACTTTTGGTTTTCATTTCAGATTTTCAATATTTTCCTCTTCTGTTATAGAAATTCATCTTCTTTGGTTCCAGTTTTCACATTACTAATCAAGTGTCATAGCTACTCCACTTAGGTTACAGTTGGAATGCTAACCAAATATCAAATCATTACAGGATAGGTCCTACATGTAAATAGTCTTTAGTCACATTGGGAGGGTTGAAAGAGATGAGATACACTTTTGTAGACAAGTGCTCATCATACAGCTAGAAACAGAATAGAGGCACACTGCTGGTTTAGTGAGTTATGTCGAGCCTTTCTCTTTTACAGCAGGTACATGTTCAATATAGGGTAGTTTCTGGAACAATGTAAAACACAGACCCTGAGCGTGATAGAATGTTATACTCATGGTCATAAATTACAGAAAACAAAACTGAAGGTGGTTTACATTGAAAAAAATAGAAAAGTGTTAAAAACTAAAGCCATTTCAAGCAGTTAGCAGGATCTTAGCAGTTTAGATCCAATGAAAACAGGAAAGAAATCCAACTGACTCAGATCTCACATGGAAAATGCAGGTCCCAATATGGTTCACTGACCAGGTTCTACTAAGGATCACCAAACTTTACCATTTCCAACCATACTTAGACTTAGAAAGGTACCTGCCCCTACAACACAGGGAGTGACACAGCTAATCTTTGGATTGTATACAAAGCATTTTAGAAGCAAATTTGTATTGTGAATACAGCATTCAAATCAGTCACTTTAGAGATTTCACCACAATGCAATGACATTTAATTCTCATTAATCTGTGAAATTTATAGTTATCGCAGGAGAAAAAGAATGAATAAAAAGACAGTAAAGAAAGACAGCAAGCATGTGACTGAGAGAACGACATGATAGCTGCCATCCACATCAGACAGAGCATGGAAGGATTACGCATAACTGAAGAGAAAGCGTGAGCACCACAGTCCTGGACTGACACAGATGTGTGTACACACACACACACAAACACACCCCCTGTCCATTGCATTGTTGACTGTTGGATATTGCAAAACATCTGGTTTCCCGTTGTTAATGCTGACTTACATTAAATGTTATGTGTTTGCAATTTCTGGTAGAAAATTTGAATGTTAACACAATGTGTTACCCTCACTCCTGCACATTACTCTTCACACATTTAACTCTAAATACCCAATTAAGGAGTGTAGGCAGGACTTCTTGGAAATCTGCAGTTGCAGTGTGCAGCATCCTCTTTAGAAACTCCCCAAAGTACAGAGAAAATTCCTGCAATTCTAAAACCTAGAAACACCCAGCAAAGACAACACACTGAATTAGAAATACTGCTCAAGGCTGTTTAAAGTCTGTTTACAAGAGAGACTGCCCACATGCTCCACAATTAGGAAATCATCCACTGAAAAGAACTGTACTCAAGTTAAAATGTAAAGCAATTGGAGTCTTAGAGTTTTAATAAATGAGACACACTGTAGTTGATGCAATGTTTTTGGATGAGAGAACCCATGGTCAAATATATCTCAAACAGAGATATAAAGAAGCCTTCAATCTTTGTATACTTGTAACATTGCGTTTTCCAATCAGACAGGTTCTAATCCATTTATTAAAATCATGTATAATGCATATAATCTTGATTTGACAGAGTTGGGCAGGATAGTAAATGTCTATGGGATGGTATAATCTGTAAACTCTCGCTTTGAAATCCACGAGCTCCATTCCCTCCCATTTCTTGCAATCTTCTGAATTCAGCGGTGTCAGACTAGGGGTCAGCGGACTTTCCCCGATATGGCTGATTGGTGGCTTTTTCCAGCTCCGGTGATGGCAAATTTACTGCAACACAAGCCCAACCTACAAAGAAAGAACAGCATGGAGTCACCATGATAGCGAGAGGCGGATAGCAGGAGTCACTGTAAGACCGACCCCTCCGTTCCCCTTTCAAATGGAGACAGTATGGAGCCAGGTGGCACCTAACTCCAGGAGAAGCCACGCACAGTCCCCTTGACAGTTTCTACTCAGGAGACAGTAGAGGTATCTGGGCCCTCCACCTTACCTGCCCCCTCTAACCCCTGGAAGTTCAGACTGAGAAGGGTCAACTGGCCTCCGTCAAGGAGACTCTCAGCATGTCCCAGAGGTCACCAATCCAAACCTCCAGGGCCAAAAGGCTCTATTACACAGCAGGCTCCTTTCACCCTATCTTTGGAAGAGGATAGCTCCGTGCATCACAGCAGGAGGGAGAGGAGAAGGAAGGAAATTATACAGCGGGTACACAGGGGGGCCACAGTAATGTTGTGCAAATACTTTGTGTTCTGTTTTGTCCATAAAATCTAGTTTTTCACCTTACATCTGGCTGTCCAAATCTCTATATGGATCCCAGATATTTTGTTGCGCTCTGCAGCATACTCCTTGGACAGCTATGAGGCGCAATGATGGGGTCTACGATGACTGTGAAATAGATGATGTGGGAGCAGGGGTGCCAGTTCATGAGCATGGCCCTGGCTCTCAGACACCATAGGCCCTCCCCCTTCAACAATGCCTACTGCTTAGCTGGCTATGAGTGCAGGAGTGCTTATTTCAGATTTCAATGTTGGTGGGGGGGACTTGTACTCCTGCATTGACAATTTGAGTTCATGACCATTGTCATTTCACTGTGACTGGTTTTAGTGCCACCCTCATATCAACTCAATTACCCTGCCCATTGTGAGAGTGCGCGTGCACGGCTGTTCTCAACACTGCACGCTCTCCACGTGCCTCACAACTGAAATGACAGCCAGTGGTCTCTGCCACTACATTAAAGAATGACACTATTTCTTGGTCATCATCGCAAAGGTAATTATTTACTTTTAGCATTCAATTACCAGATAATATAAATACTACTTCCAGTTAATGGTTCACTTTGATGAAGATTTCAAATCCCACAGAACTGTAGTTAAAAACAAGTCAGTCAGGAAAAGCTGTTCACCCAGAAGGGAAATATAAGCGAGAAGTTAGTTATTGGGTAAGGACACTCAAATGAATAGTGTAAAAGAGACCGAGAAGAAATCCTGTGTTACTGAGAGACAAAACATTAACTGACGTAGCTAGGTGAGAGTTATCTTGGGAAAAGAAATGACAGACAACTCTGGGCATAATAGGGAGCGACAGGAGGGGAAGGAATGAGATAGGGTGAGAAGAGATATGTGTAATCTTGTTGAAAAGAGTGTGCAGGAAATGAGATAGGATCAGGCCAGGCTGTAAAGGAGTCAAGTAGGGAGAAGGACCATGGTTGTGATTGTGGATTAGGATCCAATTGTAATGGTAAGCTCAAACAGCATAATCAGAGCAAGCTGTAAATATGAATTAGAAAATGCTGGCCAGTTGGTGGCTGGCTTAGGCAAAAATTATCAAAATATCTGCACATCATGTCACTCCTGTCCTATCCTATTCTGAGTTTGGTTCCACGTTAACTCAATGCTTAGCAATATATTCAGCTTAGGCAAGAGTAATGAAGATAAAGGAACCAACAGACCTGACCTGATTAAAGGATTGGTTATTGTACATACTGCCCTCTCTAAACACAACTCAACACTAAAATTGCCCTACATAATTCAATCATCGTGTGGCTTCTGCTGTATGCCAAATTGCTGATGTGTACTTGCAACTCAACTGAGAAGACACAAGAGTAGGCCGCTTTGCATGTGTCACTATTCAATAAGGTCGTGGCCTTAACTTGTTTTCTGCCTGTCCCCTTAACTTCAAGCCCCTACTTTAGAACTGTTCTCTCCAGTTCTACATTCCCTGAATCACTCAAAGCAAGCCAATGGCCCAACTTCAGCAGCAGCAGATCCAGACCTGGATTCCAACGAAGCCTGTTTTGAAAAAGAGCTGACAGTCAGTATACAGAGAGCATCAGGCAATGCACATTCAAACAGCTTGTTCTGGGTTACCTTCTCAGCAGCCATGCTGGGGCACTTCCAATTGTATAGATAATACTGCAGGTTGCCATCTCCAATTCCAAATTTCAGCTTTTCTAAAAAGGTTTTGTTTTCCATGAGGTCCAGTGCATTGAAAACATCAAATCCTTTCTGTTAAGGCAAAAAAAATGTAATAGAAAATCAGACTCAGAATATTGCTGCCTTGAAGTATTCAGACAGGACAAACACTTCCATAGAAATGTCTAACAATTAATACACACATCCAATTAACACAGGATTTAAAATGTTTTATTTTTCAGTTTAAATATACAGTGCCAGAAACAATCACTCCCAGAGCATCAGAGACTACTCAGACCCCTAGTTATCAGAATAGCTCACAAGCCAACAACCAACACAGCTACTGACAAATGTAAAGGATCCCATACTCACAACCAATAAAACAAACATAATATCCAAATATCACGCAAGGACTGTGAAAAACATTACATAGGCCAAACCAGAAGAAAACTGACAATGAGAATACACGAATACCAATTAGCCACCAAGAGGCACAACCAATTCTCAGTGGTCCCAATACATATGGACAAAGAAGGACGTGAATTCGACTGGGACAATGCATCCAGAATAGCACAAGTAAAACAGAGACATGCCAGCGAATTCCTGGAGGCCTGGATTTCCAAACGGAACTCCATCAACGAATACATTGAACTGGACCCATAAACAAACCACTGAGAAACAGAACCGGAAGTGATGTCAACCACCCCAGCAAACCGAGTATATAATAAGCGGGACCGAACACCAACGCTTCATCAGAGGTGCACTGACAATGCTACCTAGCAGGGTGATGAAAAGTCTGCAATCAAACACACCAACTCTGTGAAGAAGTCTACAACCTCATCCACAACTCAAACTACAAATCTTCTCAAAAACTTTAAACACAAACAGAAAATACATTCAGCAAAGTGTGTAGCCCAAAGGCCCTCTTGGTTTCATCCCCAGCCTCACTCAAACTACTGTGGGGGGCTTTTCCCATGTCACAGCAAGTCAGAAATCCAGAGAACGCAATGGTGTTTTCAAACAGGTCCTGTGGCGGCTTCTTCAGCCAGAGTGTGGGGCTGGGATCTGTCTCTGAAAGGCCAAAGGTTTGTGATGGGCTGCTGCTGCACAGTGCTCTGAACGAACTGTTTATTCCGATCTACCTCAGTCAGCACGCATTCAAAAATCTCTAGAACAGGCCAGGAACTATGACTCTTTCTAAAGTAGGTAGAATTGGGTCTAGAAGGATAAAGCACCAAAACATGTGCCAAAGGAAGCTCTTGGAGGAAGAATGGGAGTTGGGCAGGGAAAGGAGAGTGACAGTTTACATATTATGTAATAAATTGAACATAAGAATTTCATGCTGATGTAGTCCTTGGTAGCTGGCATAAATGGTCTGAGACCATGCACTTTGACATCTGAAGCCTTCAGCCAATCATACAGAAATACAGAAGATAGGGCCAAATGGCCTCCTCCTGCTCCTTCGAGCCTGCTCAGCCATCCATCATGATCACGGCTGATCACCCAGCTCAATAGCCTAATCCTGCTTTCTCCCCATAACCTTTGATCCCATTCGCCCTGAGTGCTATATCTAGCCACCTCTTGAATACGTTCAATGTTTTGGCATCAACTACTTCCTGCAGTAATGAATTCCACAGACTCATCAATCTTTGGATGAAGAAATGTCTCCTCATCTCCGTCCTAAATGGTCTACCCCAAATCCTCAGACTGTGATCCCTGATTCTGGACACACCCACCTTTGGGAACATTGTCCCTGCATCTACCTAGTCTAGTCCTGTTAGAATTTTATAAGTGTCTATGAGATCCCCACTCATTCATCTGAATATGCTGCTGTCAAGTGATTAAACAGAGTCTGAATCTCTGGATTGATGCAGGCTGTTGCACAGAGACTGATTAGCCATCTGCCAAACATCTAGAAACTCTCTGTCCTATAGAAGACAATGGGTAATTATGGAGGGGTGTGTTTTTCTGACTGACGGTCTGTGACTAGTGGTGTTCTGCAAGGATCAATGCTGGGACATCTGTTGTTTGTAATTTATATAAAATGATCTGGATGAAAATATGGGTGATCTGATTAGTAAGTCTGCAGACAACAAGAAAATCAGTGGAGTTGTAGATAGTGAGGAAGGTTGAGAAAAGATTACAGCAGGACATGGATCAGTTGGAAAGTTGGGCGGAAAAATGGCAGATGGAGTTTAATCCAGACAAGTGTGAGGTTGCATTGTGGCAGGCAAAATGCAAAAGTATACAGTAAATTGTATGACACTTAGGAGCATTGATATACAGAGAAATTTGGGGGTGCGAGTCCATAGCTCCCTGAAAGTGGCAACGCAATTAGATATGGCGTGCTTGCCTTCATTCATTGCAAGAGGCACTAAGTACAAAAGTTGGCAAGGCACACTGCAGCTCCATAAAACTTTAGTGAGGCCATGTTTGGAGCATTACGTGCAGTTCTGGTCACCAACTACAGCACTGAGGAAGTTAACCAGGATGTTGCCTGGACTGGAGCTGTAAGGAAAGATTGGACAAATGTAGATTGTTTTCACTAGAGCATTGTAGGCTGAGGGGTGACCTGATAGAAATATATAAAATTCTGAGAGGTATAGATAGGGTGGAGAGGGGGCAAGTTTAAAGGAGATCTGTGACACAAGTTTTTTTTTTTAAATGCAGAGTGCTGGGTGCCTGGAATGTACTGGCAGGGGAGGTGGTAGAAGCAGATATAATAGCAATGCTCATTCAGACAGACACGAGCAGAGAGAAGAGGGACACAGACCACATGCAGGCAGATGGGAGTAATTTAGAATGGCATCATGGTTGGCATAAACATGATGGGCTGAAGGGCCTGTTCCTGTGCTATACTGTTCTATATTCTATATATGGAGTTCAGGGGCCCAATCAGTCACTTAGACTCAATTTAACAAACTGTCAATGCTTCTAAGACTTGGAGAAGAAAGATAATGTTCCTCTTGATCTCTGATCCATCCTAACCTAGTATCTGACATAAGAGACTGAAGTTTGTCCATCTGCTGAAAGATATCATATCTTTCTGGTATAACAAGGTGTAGAGCTGGATGAACACAGCAGGCCAAGCAGCATCAGAGGAGCAGGAAGGCTGACGTTTCG